ACCCCACTCCACCCCACCCCACCCCACCCCACCCCACCCCACCCCACCCCACCCCACCCCACCCCACCCCACCCCTCATCCCCCCAAACCGTGTTGGGCCCTGGCGAACTGCATAGGCGGGCTGCTTGAAGCGGAAGTACGGGTGGTACCACGCTGCCTGCTTTCGAAAGCACGCCAGTCGGGCACGGTCAAGGCCATCGCGAGCATGGTGGCAAAGGGGCGAATCCTTTTCGGGTTCTTCATTCACTCAGGAACAGGGCTGTTGGAAATGGAATCCACTTCTGTGATACAACAAGAAGGGCCTAACCCCAAAGACTAACCCACCACATAACGGGGGAGATTCCCAACAGCATCACAGAAGTGGTTGGTAAAACCCCTTGATCCCACAACCCTGCTCAGGAACCTGCATGAAGCAAAAAAGCGCGTGCCACTGAACTGAGAGAACCATCCCTGTGCGAACAGAAAAGAGATCCTTAGGGTTTGGTGATTGTGGATGGCCCAAAGTGTCATGGTCATGAACCTATTGGAGCTTGGCCCATACTTGTTCCTTGTTCCTTCTGACACCCAAAGTGCACTCCCAAGTGGACAGTTGCTGGTACCCAAGCCATCTACCTCATCTTGAAAGAGCTCCCCGGCTTGTAACCAGCCCACTTTACAACCTCCGAGCTCCTTCACTTCACTTTCGCGAGCGAGCGAGCTCAAGGGCCCATTTCGTCCGCACCCTTGCCCTTTACGACCCAAGTGACAGGGAGGCCTTGGTATCCAGAAGGTCTTTCCAAGGGCTGTCCAGAATGCATAGCTTAGGGACACAATCCAAGTTGCAGGTGAGCAGGACAAGTTGTTCCTTGCAAAACTGAGGTGTAGCAGTTTGAGGGAAACGGCCCTACCTTGCCACGAGATTGATGTCATCCTCCCAGACCCATCCAGCCAGCAACTCTGAAGAAAAATACTTGGACGTGACTAGAACCAAACTGAAAGCAGTGCCATCAGGGTTTGTCTCAAAATAGGGAACCCCCCCCCAAACAACTCATAATAATATATAATTCCTTTCCCTCTGAATGTCCCTAAAGAAATCAACCCCACCACCCTTCCCACAAAACAAACAACCCCACAAATACAAACAAAACATCCGCGGCTCCACCCGGCGAGATCCACCCAGACCTGCCCGAGAGGGTCCAGGTCATGAGTCCGGCAGTCTGGGCCCTTCTGCACCTTGAGCCGCTTTCCGCCCCAGCTTCGGCCGAGGGTCCGTTTCATGAGGTTCCCATGGCCCGAATCGCCCAGCACCAGCCCCCAGAATGGGAGCCTTGCCAAAGGGGGGGGGGGCTGCTGGCCATTGAGCCGTGCAGCTCATGAGTACTAGTCACTAGTCTTGGGCAATGTTCCCAAAGCCGCACACGCCCTGCCGAATTCCTTGTAGATACCCTCCCTCCAACATGGAAGCTGACAGGTGGGAAGACTATGTTCCTTTTGGGGAACCCCTCCGTCCACTTCCATGATGCTTGGAAAGAGGGTAGTTTTCAAAGGGCACAGTTCAGTTGCGACCACACCTTTTGGCTTTAACAGCTTCCCCTCGGAAAAATGACTTGGCCAGCAGCAGACGGAGGTTGAGTTAGTCTTTGACCCACCAGTTCTTGCGACTGGGCTTGCGTTTCAGAAGCTGCAGCAAGTGGAGCCCCCTTGCATCTCAGACCATGGTGTCACTCGCCGGGTTCACTGCCCAAAAGGGTACTTGAAATGTTGAGCGTATTGCTTCTCTGATATGTTCTTGCGCGACTGGCTGCCTGGCAGATCTTTCCTCGCCGGCTCCTTTGCGTCTTTGCTTGGTTGCTTGCTTCTCGGCGTCAGGGCTGGGCAAAAACAAAAAGAAACAAGTCTTACCATATTCTTACATGCTCCGAAGGGAACTGAATAGAAAATAGTAGCTGAATCTTCCTGTACGTTTTCTTGCTGTTGGGTGACTGTGAAAACGAAGGGTGGTTGATTGCTCAGGAGCAGAGATGTCTTTTGTTGCCTGCTCTCACTGGCTGCTTCCAGGATTGGAACAAGGGCAGGACCGCTTGTTTAAATAATTGTTCAATCAGCATTTCTAGGTCCTCCAGTGGAGAGGTTAGAAGAAGGGTACCCTTTTTTTCTGTAGTCTATTTTAATAGGGGAACCCTTCCCCAAAAAAGAAATGTTAAAAGGGCACCTAGCTGAAAAAAACCTAGATTTGCTTGAACCAACTCCCCTTCAAGTGGACTGGCTGGCTGTTTCAGCTATCATTCAGCTGATTCAGCTCTCACAATGCGCAGCGCCCAAGGAGCGGACCCAATCCGAGGATACGAGGTCAGTCTGCGCAATGGTATCTCGGCAGGACTTGGCAACCTTCGGCTCTTGGGAGTTTCGGTGGCAAAGTCCTAGGAGACGCAGGCCAAAGCAATTCAACGAAGGGGGCTGGGACAGCTCAATACTCGCACTTCGGTTGACAGCTCCAAGTTCGTAGAAGAAATCCTTGGGGGTGCAAAAAATGCGTGACCCAGTTCAAACAATCAGGAGACTTGTTTTGACAACAGTGAGATGTCCAATCGCCAACCTCATAGTGGATCTTGTTCTGGGGGCTCAGTTTCAGACCTGCACCCCCTCCGCTTTCCACGGGTGAAACCCCCTTTCTTGGTTGAATGGCATTCTGCTGGGGCCATTGCTGCAAACAACGCCCTTCTATCAGGAACACGACATTGCTGTGGGTCGGTCACAGGGACCGCTCAACATGTCAAGATTGTCCAGTGCCGCAAAAGCTGTGGACCAATTCATATCTGGGAAATGCTTCAACCACGCGGCCAGGATAAAACAAGTTCCAGGCAGAAACGATACTGGAGGGCATTCATCCCCTTCCTTCTGCTTGCCAAACCCTCACGCTTCCCACTGCAACACCCGGCCTGGCGTAGCGGTAAATTCCAGCCAGTCCTGTGCGACTTGAGGTAGGCAGCCACTGGTTTCACGTCTGATTGCGCAACTAGGCACACTCTTGCCACTTCATCAACTTGACATTGTGTCACCTTGTTGCACAATCTGCAACAAAAAGGAGCCTTTGCGGTGAACGGGTTGAAACAAAGGCCACCAGGGCAACCCAATGGCAAAACGGCGTCTGGTTCTACTTCGTGCGTCCTGCCGCGGGATGTTCTGCATGTCCACGGCCTCCTCGGCTCTCCTCACGACGGCAGTTTCCGCAACGTTCCAGCCACCAACTCGCCAAACTGGTTAACAGAGAAGGACACACGTGTCTACTCTCATAGGGACACCAACCCCAAAACATAGAAACCAGTGTCTTCGAATAACTCGCGGCTTGTTCGCGGGCTCGCCTCTTGGCTCCCTGTGGTCAAAGAAAGTGACCCCCCTCAAGTTCAGGTAAAGAACACCTGAGTTGCGCCCAAATCTGGCAAAGGGAAACCTTGCCCCTCGTGCTTTGACCATCTTAGGCTCGGACCCTAACGTTCGAAAGGCAAACCGCTCCCTACCAGTTCTTGGGTTCTTGACGCAAAGGAAGGGAACCGCAAAACAGTTGGTACCTTCTTGTTTCCCCTCAAAACCCAATCAAACATCGATTCCTACACCCCCCCTAGCAAAAATCCGTGCATAGTGCTCCCTGCAAGTATGACTTCTCTTGCTGTTCCAGCGTTTTGGCTGCCCCTGTCAATATAAGCCAAAAGCGACATCTATTTTTGGGGGCCCAATTCAAATTTACAATCCCCTTGCCACAAATTCATAGCGGAATTCCGCCTTAATTCTTTACATGGTTCTGGGGATCGACCATTTTCAGGCCAGCGTTTGAGTATGACTCACCTGTCTTTTGTGAGAACTCCAACAACTTGTGGCGTTCCTTTTAGTTCGCGCCGGGTACATAGCTACCCGAGTTTTTTTTGGCATGTCCTCGGAGCCCATGCGTCTATTCTCAAGCAGTTTGACAAGCAAGCATGTTTCTGGTGTTGTGGGGCATCCGAATAACTAACTCAGGCCAGCCGAATCTCCGGTCTACATGTGCAGTTTTGGACCAAGTCAGCACAGCTGACAGTTAGCGGGTGTGCATATCGTGCTACGTGCGCGCAGCTCTGACGTGATGCGCTTGAGCAGGTGTGCTTATGCTGTGCCAGCGTGCGCGCAGCTCTGACGCGATTGCGCTTGAGCAGGTGTGCTTATCATGCGCCAGCTTGTTCGCAGGCATATCACAAGCCAGCGTGCGGCGCGCAGCTCTGACGGGACGTGCGTGAGCTGGGTGTGCTTATGCTGTGCTGGCGTGCGTGCAGATTTGATGTGATGCGCGTGTGCGCGCAGCTCTGACGTGATGCGGTTGATCAGGTGTGCTTATCATGCGCCAGCGTACGTAAAGGCTTATCACGTGCCAACGTGCAACGTGCAGCTCTGACGTGACGTGCGTAATTAAGCAGGTCTGCTTATGCTGCCGGCGTGCGTGCAGCTCTGACGTGATGCGCGTGAGCGGGTGTGCTTATGCTTTGCTGGCGCGCGTGCGGCTCTGACGTGATGCGCTTGAGCAGGTGCGCTTATCACGTGCCGGCGTGCAACGTGCAGCTCTGACGCGACGTGCGTAAGCTGCTGTGCTTATCACGTGCCGGCGTGCGTGGAGCTCTGACGTGAGGTGCGTGAGCAGGTGTGCTTATCACGTGCCGGAGTGCGTGCATCTCTGACGTGAGGTGCGTGAGCGGGTGTGCTTATCACGTGCCGGCGTCCGTGCAGCTCTGACGTGACGTGCGTGAGCGGGTGTGCTTATGCTGTGCCGGCGTGCGTGCAACTCTGTCGTGATGCGCGCGAGCCCACCCGAGGCCAGGTGTTGATTGTGGCTCACCTCGTTTCTCCCGCGCGTCCTCTTCGCCAGCAGCGCCTCAAGCTCAGCGGAGGTGCGCCGCGCCAGCGGCAGCGGGTCGGGCAGCGGGATGTGCCCGTCCTGCAAAAGCGAAAAGCCAAAAGCGCAGCCGATACTCTTTGCCCGACGCCGCCCTCCGACAGTGATGAACCCCCGCTAACACCAAAAGCCGGCAGATCACAAAACAAACAGGGGTTGATCAATCCTGTGGTTGGCATCTTCAAAGTCCACCAGGTGAAGCCGGAGGCAGTTCGCAGTTGGGTTTTGGGGCTTCAACATCTTCACGTAAGCCTTTGTTTTGGTCTTGCAGCCCGGAAAGGTTGCAAACATTCCGCCAAATTCAAATGAGGAGCCCCGGTTGGCGTTGGCAGCTGTGATGAAGACCTGGCCCCTCCCCCAACCACTGCCCCCTAACACATGCCCTTACAAAGAAGACACATCAGAAGGTGGTTGGTGTGTGTGTGTGTGCTTGTGTGCTTGTGTGCTTGTGTGCTTGTGTGCTTGTGTGCTTGTCTGCTGTGTGCCTTGTGTGCTTGCTTGCTTGTGTGCTTGTGTGCTTGTTTGCTTGTGTGCGTGTTTGCTTGCTTGCTTGTTTGCTTGTGTGCTTGTGTGCTTGTGTGCTTGTTTGCTTGTTTGCTTGTCTTCTTGTTTGCTTGTTTGTTTGTGCCTGTGTGGTGTGTGCGACTGTGTCTGGGTCTTGCATCTGTGTCTCTCTGTGCCTAGGTCTGCGTTTGCATCTGCGTATGGTTCTGCATCTGGGTCTGCCAATGCATGCTTGCCTTTGTGCTTGTACGTATTTATGTGTGTATGTGGTACTGGTGGGGGATGATTTGAGAGGTTGGCGCCTGTTTGGTTGGAGAGCACCGAGTCTTGCAAACAACTTGAATCAATGGGAAACGCGTGTTTTCTGCTGTTGGGGCCAGAAGCCTCGTCAGCAATTGGTTCAAGTGAAGCGTTGTCAAAAGCCATTGCGCCACAAGCTTCCTCCCAGGCTCTTGGTACTTGGCTATGGGAATACTCTTCCCACGACTGGGGTTTCCTGGTTTGATGGAACACAATGTCCCACCAAAAAGACACAGCCCTCTGTTGGGCTCCGGGTTAGTCGGTTTGCACTTCTTGCGTTCCAGTGGTATTGCAAACGTCGGCAATTCGCAAAACCCTGCGCGATAGAGAAAAGTCTTCATGAGGAAACAAAAGGACAGGATCAGCGCTTGTCGCTTGAGTCGTTTGGGAGCCTCGACACGATGGCGATGGGAAGGGATGGGGCATGTCTTGAAAAGGGGAAGCCTTCTTGGTGCTTCATATGGCTGTGGCTCAAAAAACCGGAATTCCAAAATGGCTTGCCCTGTGGAAACATGGGTACCAAAACCTGCGGTTTGCCCCTCCGATCGTTTACTTTTGAGCCACACCCATATAGCTGGCCGTCCCCTGAAATATCCAGCTTCTTGTGCTTTCGTCCAGACCAATTCCGGCTGCGGGAGCTTGAGAATCCCCTCCTTTGGTTAAGCGGCGCTACGGCGCTTACGCTATGCTGGCGTTGGAGGTGAAGGATGCTCAAGAAACAAGCTGTTTAAGACATAGATGACACTTTTGTCCAATGGCTTCGCGTTTTCAATACATGGCTTTGGGTCAAGGTATCCAAGATGGAGCCCTGGTACATGTAAACATGGACAAAAGCCAGCGGTCCCCTGGTTGCTTAATTTTGACCCACAACCACATGATCTTCCGTACGACAGGATCCATTCCCCATCCAAGAATCCGAAGTTCTAGGTGTCAATGTCTCTTGGGTTCGGGCCTCAACTTCAACTCTAGCCTAGCAAGCCTCAAATCGGCTGAATAGCATGCCAGCAGCCTGAAGCAGAAAGTGAGGAGTGCTCTGAGAGGATGTCATCTTGGACCGGAAAGCTGAGACGACACGTCTCCAAACGGACAGCTTTGCGGGTTTCATCCTCTTGCGTTTTAGGCCCTAGGGGGGGGGGGAAAAACACATGTGTCCAGGAATGATGGATTCCATCTCTAAAACCAACAAGGGAAAATACAAGATATTCTTAAGCAGATGTCCAACGAACACATCCAACCTACGCGGAAGAGAACTCCGACACGCCCACTCCGCGGCCCAAGCAGTCCGCCGGCATGGCCCAAAGGGTGTCATTGAAGGCGCTGCGCATCCTGACTGGTACCAAGCCCGTGGTCTCCGGGCATGGCGTAAAGAGTGACCCACCAACAAAGCCCTTGGTCAACACGGTTTTGGGCCTTGATTCTTTGAGAAGGAGCCACCGCCCGAGCCAGGCCATGGGAAGAGCTGGCCGGGCCCCCTAGTACTTCTAGAATCTCACAGCGAGGTCCGCTTCGCCTGGCCCTGCCCAAAGCTGACCGGGTAAGCCCCGAATCCGAAGTCCAGTGCTTTCTTTTTTTTCTCTTCAACGAGTTGTGTCAGTGCTCGTGGTGGTGCATACAGACTTCCAGCCTCTGACCTTTGGGCCTTGGAGGTCTCCAATTGGCGGCTTGGATTGGTGGTTTGGTGGTCCAGGACTCTGCAACAGCCAAAAGTATCCCCAAACCACCAATCCAAACCATCAATTCAGCGTATTCCCAACAAACACATGTCCCCAAAACAACAAGATGAAGATGTAGCAATTCTCGACGCGCAGAACCACAAGTGCAGACATCCGCAACCATTTTTTTGTCTTTGGGGTGATGTATCCCCCAAGCTTCTACCCGAACTTTTGATGGCTTTGGGTCCTGGAGCAAGAAACTGCACCGGTACTTGGCTGCTTTCTGCTCCCCTGCTAAAAGCTTCACTTATCGTGGTTTAATGGAAAACCCATTAGTTGGCAACAAGTTAAAGTCCTGACATCCCTTGGCAAAATGCACCAAAGAGTAACTAGTCCGGGCAGGAACTACAAGCTCCCTCGGCTCCCTGGCGGTAAAGTTTGGGAGGCAGAATTGGGACGCTCCATGCAACTCCGCCACTTTTCAACTTTTCTTCGCCTTCATAGCCGCCATAGCCACACGAGCAGTGCTACCACAGGCCCATGCACTCAAGACATTTGGAGGCCGCTGCACGCGCCAATGCGCCAGCCAGCTGGCAACTGTCTGAACAAGTGGAACCCTTTGGCTGCAAAAGGGACACCGGCAAAAGAGAATTGCAAAGGGCAAACTGGGTTGCCATGTGTTGGACACAACTTGCCTTGGCCAGGCCTGTGGCCCGTTGTGAACACTGCGCCCACACGTGGCAATTTCGGCCGGCGGTTGCAACCGAACTACTCGCCCGCCCAAAGGACCTGCAAATCAAAGGCCAAGCTTTTGGGTGTTCTGAGCAAAAGAGTAATTAACGAAAGGGGAACTCAAGGATCAAAAGGTCAGCTATGGGCAAGTGAGGCTAGATTTAATTAGGCAGTGCTACGATGCCAGCCCGACGAATTGAAATCACTTGGCAACTACGAACTACGCGTCACAGCTTGCCGAATGGGTCGTTTCATGCCACTTCCCTTATCAAACTAAGCAACTGAGACGCCAGCCGGCAAGCAAGCCGGCATGCAAGCCAATCAGCAAGCCAACCAGCAGGAAGCAAGACAATCGAGTTCTTCAAGGCAATCGAGTCAACGTAACCAATCAAACAAGAAAAGCAAGATGAAGACGAACTGCCTGTCGCGGCCAGCTTGTTAAGGACAGCTGTCGTGCCTGTTTCATGCAAAGCCAGATCTGGCGGTTGCCGCCGATAGCGAGCACTCTTGGGGTTCCCCCAGTCTCAGCAAAATGGCATCATAGACTCCCCCTTCGAAGAGGGTGTGACCAGAAAAGACCCAAAAGGCATCCGCCCAATCATTGAATCATGCCAACGTGGAAGACTGAGGGCCTAAATGATTGGAAGTGGCCCCAGGTTGCGGGATTTTTGTTGAAACTAAGTTGAGTCCCAATTACAATTCTTGGAGTATATGTCCAATGATCGGGTGTGACACACTTGCAATCGACTTCCAATATGTCCAATGGCAACGCATATTCTTCAGAGCCATACCAACATTACCAACCCCAACAGCTACGTGGTTGTTGAGCCTTATCAAGGCACAAAGGCCTTTTGGGCCTTTGCACGGTGAGCTGCCTCATATTCTCGCATCTTGAGCCACGGCCACGCTCGGTGAACCCCGGTGCTTCTCTCCCCCCCCCGAAAGAAGGCCGCAGTCATCGCTCAGAGGTCCCGCAAGAGCGCGCTGATGGGGCCCATCGGCCTGAGATGCGGGCCAAATGGACTGGAGGGTCCAACCTACAAACAAAGTTAAGAAATGGACACCCTGCTCCTCTAAAACCAAACCCTTCTGGTGACACCCATTTTTTCCAGGAGTCTGTTTGGCCCGCGGCGGAGCCTGTGCTCAAACCGTGGTATGCGTGTGTCAAAATTGCGAACCCATCACCTGACCCATGCTCAAATGGTGTTAAAATGAAAACACAATGAACCAACACACCAGGAACACCCACTTGAATGAGGCAGGAACTCAAAAGCAAGCAGAAGGCACCCCTTGGCAAAGCTCGGGAATACAACATAATAAGCCATCAAGCAAATTGCCAATAAGTGGCCAAAACACTTTACACTCCGTTCCCCACATATTTCGCAAGCAACCCAACTGCCACTGCAATAAACAGACCGCGAAGCCTCGTTCACCCGCCTCTACCACCTCTTCCATTCCTCGCCGTTCTGCTCCTTGCGCGTGTAAAGCACGCGACGCAATGAACCCGAGTGACTTCAGCAATCAAAACCCCCGGGTTTCACCTGAAGAGAAACAAAGTCTGACTTGCCAGATTTGGCCAAGCCACTCACTTTTTGACTACTTTTCCGGCCCCCCCCCTCTCAAAAACAAAAACAAACAAAAAAAACGGAGGAAAACATCATGGGGAGAACTTTCCCGGTGACTTTAACATCGGACTTCCCTTCATTGCCCCCCCTCCCCCACCTAGACTCTGTTTTTTAGCAACTGTATTTTCTTGTGGATGTCTGAGCACTGCTCGAGCGCATGATTGCTCCGTGTTGCACACCAACAACTTCCGGACTGACCTGTCAAATGACCGAGCCTCAAATCCAGGCCCGGCCACGCACCCGACAACTGATATAAGAGACAAAGGGCGAGGACCTCCCCCCCCCCCCCCCACGCCTTAGGGGTTCAAATGGCCATGGGTCAACATCCCGTACCCCCAGTGAACATCCCAATCCCCACTAAAATAGGTCCTAGAATGTGTGGTGAATTCACCAATCCCAACCAAACTGGGATGCCGAAACGGTTTTGACCACCACAGCCAAGTGGAAGCGCTTGAGGCGAGAACCCCCCGAGCGCCCTCCCCGTATCCCGGTTGCGCCTTCCAGTAGCGGCGAGCGTAGCCCACGACAAAGGCGGAGGCGCACCTCACCGCACTGGCTCCGCGGCGGTCCGTCCGCATCAGATCCGTGCAAAGTGATCTGAAGGTGGCGTTTTTTTCTTTTTCTTTTTTGGTTTTTCCTTCTTTTTTTGGGTAGGCTTCAAGTTATGAGGGACAGCTTAGGCTTAAGTTTTTAGGGTGCAGGTGAACAACTCGAAATCCGCTCTTGTAGGTTTCAAGTTAGGAATAGTTTCTTGCTACAGTCGGTTTGTTTAGGGCGGGTTCCCCCTCCCCGTCCCAATAGAAAACAATCCAAGACAGTACTGGAGCAAGGATCACAAAGCCGAACAAAGAACCACCCGGCCAACCAGCCAACCAAACCCATATTTGGACGGACTGCTAGATGCTCCTAGCTACCCTCCTTGCCTCTTGAGCCTTTCACGCCATAAAACCAGCATTCCACCAACTCCATGACTCCCTCAAGATAAATCCACAATCAAAACCTGGTCCAAAAATGGTGAACCCAAACCATTGTAAAGAGTTCCCAACCTTCATCTAATGTAAACTTAGTATTAGTAATCACCTCCTTTTTCTCATCGGTCCAGGTGCCCGCCTCCAATACTTCGCAATTTATAACACAGAAAATCCCCCCTACTTCGCCTGCTGCTGGACACATGGCGACTTGCGACTTGCGACTTTTCGCTTTCTTGGGAAATCATTTCTCCCCTACCTAGATCTCCAGCAAGGCCTTTATTTTCCAGCTACCTTGACCAGATTGTGGGCTACTAGTGGGTAAAGTGGTTGGAAAACAAATGCTACTTGGGGTTCGCCCGTAGCATGCCTTTTGGAAAATTGGATGGCCCTGGTAAATGGAATAACCCCCATCTAAAGCAGGGCCCTCTTTTTTTAAAAGCAAACTAACCTAAATTACTAAAAAGGACACCTATGAATCCCCCGGGCCTCATTCTTTCACCATGATCAAAGTCACCCCTAACTGATGGGACAAAGGGACCCAACCGATTCCATGTTCTGTCTTTGACGACCCCCAGAAACCGCGAGAGAATGATAACCCCAGCCCCTTCCCCCCCCTCTACAGGTGGAGCCCCTTCCCCCTCGATTTCTTTTTTCCTGCGCGGTTCGGTTTCCGCCGGCGCCCGTGAGGCTCGGGGCCCCCGGCTGGGCGCGGCTCGCCTTCTGCAAGGCCCTCTGCGCCTGAGAGGCGAAAGGCCGTCCTCCAGCGGCTTCTTTTAAGCCCTCGCGGAAAAATATATGTACATACATATATATGTACATATATATGGCTGTGGCTAAAAAAAAACGGTACCCAAAATGGGTTGCGCTCCTGATTAATTTAGAACCACACCCATATATATATATATATATATATAAACAGTAGTGACATCGATTCCCATTAAAACCAAGAGGGGAAAATGAAAGACATATTCTTGAGCAAACGATCACAGCTCCCAGCCACCGTTGGACTACTTGGCTTCTCCAAGAGGACATGGGGAAGTCGTGTGGTTTTTGTGGGATATTTAGCAAAGTCATGTGTTTTTACCATGGCCTCCAGTTGCTTAAGTCCCTGGGAAGCATGAAACATATTTCCAGCAGCCTAAGCGTCCGTTCTGCTTTCTGGCCACTGAAATGTGTCCGTTTGCAAAAATAGGGGAACCTCCACACCAAAGATTTGCAGTTGCTTGCTTTCAGACCCCTCCGCAACGGGGGGATCCCTGATTTTAGGAAACCACCCACTTGGCCTTTTGGCTGAGTGTCAAAACTAGGAATCCTCCCAAATGAGTGGTGGGCTTTGGACTTCCTTTCAAAACTGGCCCAAAAATCGGTCGGCAGCTTTGACGCGTGGGGTTTGCCTCACAATCGGGGAGGTCCCAGAATAGGTGGAAGGCGTCCAGGGCTTCCCTTTCAAACACTCCCAAAGAGGGTCCCAACCATAGGTGACCTTTCGGACCAATAGATGGATTTCAAGCGGGGATTTAAAAGCGATCTGAACCAGTGGCACCCATCTCTTTTTCCATCCAAACTCACCGACACCTCCTGTGGATGGTTGCGAATCCCTTTCGCGCCACTTGGAAACCAGGGGAAACCATGGTTTGCTAGTGTTTACAGGGGCATCGACTCCTTCCAGGGATTCTTAGGTGCTGGAAGGATTCGATGATGGAATCCGCAGAAACTGCACGACAGTAGTCTCGTATCGATTGTGGACCGACTGCACTACCCAGCACAAATCGATTTGGTCCACGGTATGGCCCAAACCTGCAAGTTGAAGCTGCATCCGACCTCCGACTCGCCGAGGCGAGCCTCGTCGCTGGGCAGTTGGCTTAGCATCTGCTGGGCCTTGGAGTCCAAGGCCTAGCCAGGTTGGTCCTTTTGGCCCCCCAAGGGCCTTGGGCCAGCTAGGCAGGAGCCAAATCAGTGGAATGGGTTGGGGGGATACATCTTGCGGCAAGCCGGAACCAGAATTTCTGGTTGAAGCATGAGTTGTGGCAGCTTTGCTGCAAGCTTGCTGTATCTCTTTCTCTCTCTCTCTCTCTCTCTCAATATCCTCACTTCTCATAAGGGCCGTCAAGAACGTGAATGCAGGAGTTCTATGGTTTGTTGGCAAGTTCATGCTGTCTTAAGCTGCGCTAAAGTCTCTTCCAGTCTTGCCCGTGTCAAGCTGGAATCTTTGGCAGTGAAGTCAAGTGGCTGCAGGTCAAAAACAGGTACCCCAAGTAGAACCCTCGGAAAATGGAAATCCTGCAGTTTCCTGGTGGTTTCATTTTGACCCATGCCCAAGTCGGTGATTCCAACAGGTCGCGAACGCGGCCAACCAACATCCACGGAGAGGCTCTGCACAAATATGAAGGTTTGCAGTCCGTGTCGTCTTGCCAGGCGCAACTCCAAGCAACGGTTTCACGGAGAAACTGGGGCCTGGTAGACGTCTTTCACGGGATCCTCGGGGCTTGGGCGGGGAGCCGGGGTGAATTTGGGGGGGAGGTTAGCATGTGTACATACATATGGACATGTTGAGGTCCTACAATGATAGTATCACTAGATCAAAACAAGTTACAAGTGCTCGTTTGTCATAGATGCAAATAATACAGAGAGAAAGGGGAGGGAGAGAGAGAGAGAGAGAGAGAGAGAGAGAGCTAGATTGGGCTTTGGCCTCGGTGATGCAACCATTACACACACACACACTATAATTCCTGGTTGCAATGATGTTGGCCTGCCTTTTTCATGAACAAACGACGTTGACAGTGGTACATGCTTGTAAATGTTCGGACATAGCATGAGCACTGAGCCAGCACACACTCAATGAGCATGCATGGAAACGGGGCAGAGTGAGACTAGGCGTGCTTGCCACATTGAAATGTTTAGTTCGGCAAAGCACATGTTGGGTTAGCTTGCTGCACGCGCGCCATGGCAAGAAAGCCGCCACTGAAGCCGCCCAGACGGGTCATCCCAAAAGTTGGCCGACAAAGCAAGGATCATGCTGATCCTCAAAGGGTGCAGGCCCATGTCCCCCCAAGCAAATGTTCGAGATTCACTGCACAACACCTTTACACAACTGCCCTCTCATAGCATGCACGCCATCTGAGGACCGTCACAAATTTTGAGGTGAGGAGATCATCATGCATGTGAAAAACATGATCATGCATTGAACCATAAGAAGAGAACAGCCAGGATAGGCACATGTGTGATAATGGAGGATGTATGGCCTGAAATCAGCACACCAATCGAACGCACATGAAAGCGTCGCGAAAAGGACAAACACAAACACCATACTTAACTTGCCGCATTACGCGGCCGCTTGCTGCATTGCTGTTCCGTACTGCAACGCACCTTGCAAATCGATGTACTGTTTGAAGAGTTCCAGACACAACATATCAGGATCCTTGGGAGCACAAAGCAAGGGCTAGAACATCTGAAAGCTGGCGAAAACAGGCCGCGTGCGGCAATCTAGCTTGTGCTTTCTGTCTGGGCCAACATGTTTGGAGGATGGGGGTCCCGATGGGAGACAGAAGATGCCAGGAGCATTTGCCCAATAGGCCATCGTCAAGGAAATGGTTCCGCCCCCCCCCCCCCCCAGTTCATGAGCTGGCTTTGGATGAGTGCAGCCATGCCTTCAAACCATTTTTTTCTCAACCGTTGTTTTCGCAAAGACAGCCGCTTTCTGTGAGCGTGTGGTCGGCTTTCGAAAGTTCAGAATGGGGGCTTCCATCGCAGGTCGCCGCCAATACAAAGCGGGCGGACGCTGAGGCTGCCATCTTCTCTTCAACGGATTCGGCACAAAACCTAGGTCCTCCGGTAGAGAGCTTAGAATAATTCAGGGTTTCTTCTGTAGTCTATTTTAGTGGGGGAACCGAATCTCTCCACCAAAAAAGGGGAGAGAAAGGGCACCTAGCTGGGGGACAGGCCGAAACACCTGAGTCTCATCACTCAGCATCAACAACATCCACAACAACGATGCCTGCGACGGATTGCGACGGGAATAACAATGACACCTTCGAGAAAGCGGTGGAAGCGATGAATGACCTCCCAACATACCCTGAAACTCGGTTGCTTCAAACCTCCCCTGCTAAAAGTTTAACTTTTAGTGGTTTAGTGGAAAACCCATTAGTTGGCAAAAAGTTAAGGTCCTAGCAGCCAAGCAAAATGCAAAGTTTAGATGTTCAGAAATGGTAAGATCACAGCCGAACAAGCAAACAAGAAACTACAAGAACAACTCCTACACCGCACCATTTGGATTTCCCGAAACCAATCTAAACCAGTGCCTTTTGTATTTCTAGTCAAACTAACCTAAAAAGGACATGGGCTCGTTTTTTCTGGGTTCCGGCAAACCATTTTCTGAGGGGTAACAGAAACGACCCCCTGCTCCAAGAGATTGCCGAGTTGCCGTGTCCATCTCTGCCGCAGCCAGCATCACCTTGGGCGTTGGCACGAGGGCACGGAAGGATGGACGTCTGAACTCCGAAATGGCTGAAGAGTGTCTCCAGCTTCTTTTCAGTGCCCTCGATTCATTTTGTGGGTGCTATGATCCATCTTAAAAATAAGGGCACTTAGTCCTAGATCAAAGAGGGCAGTAACAAGATGCTGTCTGTTCATTCTTCTTTGTTGGTTGCCCTTCTCCCATTTCTTCTGCAGTGAGCCCTTGAGAAGCATGTGCCGAAGGCCATTGAGGCTGCCAGCATTCTACTTCTGCTTTTGACATTGAGCCACGGTCAATATTCGTTGTGTCCTATGACGTTGGATGTGTTTTGTTTATCCGTCATTCTGGTGAGTGTGCCCCCCTTTGCTGCAACAGATGACAGTACACGTTGACCTCTCACATGCATTTGCATGCGTGACCTGGCGTGTCTTCCCTTGCTTGCAGCTAGTACAGGTCACCAATCAGAATTATGATGAACATGATGTTCCCGAAAGCCCACTCATCCACACAAGCCCGAAATGCCGAATTCAGGGCCTACCTTTTCTAGCCTGCGCTCCAAACTTCACTCAGAGCTTTCCATCTCACATGGACGCATCCTGGAACACTCAGACAAATGCAGAACATCAAACAAGACAAGGGAAAGGGGCGACATACATTATCCAATCTTCAACTTGTTTGGTCAAATTAAGTAGTCGCGTTTTTGGGGAAAGGGTTCAAAGACCAGGAGCTGCCAGGCAAGCCTTTTTGGATGATTCGAAGGCCATCCCAAAAGGAAACCAACCCGGAAGAGTCAACTTGACTTTGGGGCCTACGATTCTTGAACGGACACGCCTCTAATCCCATCTAGATGCTTGGCGATGGGCCAAGCACCTGTCAAAAGCAAAAAAATGCGTACCGCCACGCGGAGTCACAATCCCGCGTACCCCGCCAAGTGCAACTCCTTTCACCCCCGGCCTGGCTCATTGCGTGGCGAATGTGTTCGGATGGGTTCCTCAGAGCGACGGCGTTCGAAAAGCACCGGCCTATCAAGTGCCTATTTCACACCTCCGGTCCACCTAACGTGAAACAATCGTTCCTTTTTTTTGGTGTGGTTTTAAGTTTTGCCTATTTTTGCCTTTTAAACTGGTTTGGTGCGCTTTTTAGTTGTAAAGAAAGACAACACCAGTTCTATGCCAGCCGCATCGAGGTGTTCTTCCTGGGCTCCCGGCCGATCCCCGTGGGCTGCAACACAGAGCTCTGCCGCCTGAGTCTCGGTGGCCGTGCCGGGACCCGAGAATTTTCGGGGAAAAATGCCACTCAGTTGTTCAGTGACCCTGGAAAAAACAGGGGGCCCTTTTTTGGGAAGACCATTATTAGTGGGGCCACCAAAAAAAAGGAAAAAGGGAGCCACTGAACAACTGAGGCCAGGAAATAGTGACCGCTGCTCATAAAGATGGTTCATGCTCTTCGTCGCTCATTTCAGATGGTCCGTGCTAGGAAAATGTTGTGCGCAATAAGAAGTTGCCTGGGTTTGGGCATAACATGATGGAACTTCACCCCCATGCAATCATGAAATGGCTCTGCGAGCATATGCATGCCACAAACTCGACCAGAACATCAGGGCCCCCTACAGTGGCCCCGTAAGTCTCCCCCGATGCTGCAAAGGTCTAAAAGGAAACCGCCGGGTCCAAAAGCAATCTGACTTTCAGCATCTAAAAAAAAAATGCAATTTCCAGCATCTAAAGCAGTGAACCGGCGAAACCCGCCGGCCTTCTCCAGTGGTATGGTCTGCAGAAGGTCGATGGTCTCTTGATCTAGGCGCATAGCCTCACGCCGGGCGTGAGAGAGAAATCCGAGGATGGCAAAGTGACAGTTCCCGAAAGTTTGTGGGGGGCGTCATGTGGATGTGGGTCGGTCACTTTTTGAGGGTACCCCTTGTTTTGTTGTTTTTCAGCAGGAAACCCAGGAAACCCAAGATGTTGGAGGGCCCTCTAAAAAAAGACACACCCATCTACGCAAACTGTCCAGGTTTCTTTGAACCCGATTCTCCAAATCGGGCAAATTGGACAAACAAACGCCGGGCTTGAGCCAATTGACTCAAACGCGAGAAGCATATAGCATCGACCTGTCCGACGATCATGAACAACTTAGGCACTGAGACAGCCAACAAATCCCCCCCAAAAGAAAACAAAAAAGAAACACAAAACATGTCAGCCAGCCGCTGCTTGCAGACTACCACAAAAGGTTGTCCTCGTATTGGCAGTATGGGTCTCTGTTTCTGCGGGTGCGCCTTTTGGTGATCATTTAAAGGGGGAAACCAAGCACCAATCGTCAGCTTACCGGGTTTTCCTTTCTCTAAAACAAAACCATAAGGCTATTTTTTGATGGGGGGGACACGAATCGTGGACATCAAAATTCGGTCGGGATTCACGTCCACCAATCACTTTTGAGGTGGTTCCCCATGACTTCTTCGCCATATCTTTCGGGCAAAGCTCAGGTGAAAAAGTCAGGCCTGGACCAGTACCACCATCACCTTCTCCCACAGCGGAGGCACTGGGATCTTGGGCGGCGCCTCATCTCAAACCAAAGGTCAGTTCTGAAAATAGGGGTTGAGTCGGGTTGAGTCCTTTTCCATTATTTTCAGCCATCGTTCTTTTCAAAAACCGATCGCAATTTCTGCAGGGGCTTTTAGTGGTTGTCTAGAAAGAAGGATCCCTGGAAAGAATGGGGAAGTTACCCCTAGATCTCTTGGTGTTCAAAAGGCAATCCCCGTCTTTAAGCGTTCCTGTTTTTTCTTGGCAAGCTGCCAGCATGCGTCACCCAAAAAAGGGGGGGAGGGTGTTGGTTTGTCCCCACGTTGTCAATGATAGGGCGATGGAGCCACAAGCTTCATGGGCCTCGACAAGGAAGAGGTGGCCCTTCGTGGGGGACAACCCAAGGCACATGTTAAAACCCAGGGACCGTTGTCGATTGACGTAACAGGAACAAGCATCGAAAGTGGTCCCTACCAAAAAGACTCACATCGAGTTTCGTCATAGGCCTTCAAATTTGGCTCCCATCCGAAAACGGAAACCACCACTAAGCCCAAGCCGGTCCAACCGGAACTTTACCCAAAACAAATCGGAACTTATCACGCAAGCTTCAAATACGGCCCTCTGGCACTTGGTTGTTGCATGCTTAGAAGCCTTTAATGATTATACTTTGCTTCTTGACTTTGCTACGCCTGAAGTAGCTGGAAATCATAGCACTTCTGTAGTTCCGTTGCTCTTGCTGCCTAACATCGTATGGTTGTACGTAGTTTACATGCCCATAGAAAAGGAGTGTGAGCTCCTGCCGGCTTGTCAATGAGCACAGTAACTACCCGGAAATGCGTGATAATTATTGCCTTGTGCGCCTATTGTTGCGGAAGGAGCACATGCCAAAACAGAGACTGCAATGCATTCAGGAAAGCCGCGCATTCGTTCAAGCAGTTGTGCATCCATGCCCTCATCACGTCTTGCTGCTTTCGTGCTGTGATCTCGCACTTTGCGCAGTTGATTATGTTGAAGCTGGTTGCAATGTCAATGAATTAATATCTGTACATAGATATGAAACATATATGCATAAATAGATATGTAATCATTTGTTGAAAATTGTTTGTGTATGCCTGCCGTGCGCGTACATCTTTTCCGTCTTTGCATTCTTGTCTGTGTTTTTGGCTCTCTTTGGTGATAGAGCAAACCTGCCCTTTTGCCAGACCTTTTGCGTATCAACGTGTCTGCGCAGCACGCTTGCTTGTGCAGCATGCGCGCACCGGCTTTCAGTGAGTACAGTATATGTTCCAAACAGCACGTGAATCAGTACAAATACATTCTATGGGGCGAGCGCGTATGAACAGTGGTTGCCACATGAAACTCGATTGCCAAAAAGAAGCGCAGGCCAAACTGGAAATGTGGGCAATGGGCAACGTAAACACGCTAATGCCAACCAGAAGACACGGGCGCAGAACGATCGGCAGCAACCCCAAGACACAGCCAGCTTCGGCTGAATGGCACAGGCAGAACAGAAGGGCAACTGAGTGAAATGAGCCAAGGCACACACACACACACACACTCAAAGCCATTGGCACACAATAAGCAACAAGCTCTTCAAGGTTGAGCGCTGCCAGTAGCAGGCCCGCAGGACAAATGACCAAACCACAATCTTACATACAACACAAATTGTTTGTGGGTCCTTTGCGGAGACACTGAGGAACTTACGCGTCTGAACGTCTTCTTTGCAGAATCAGAATTGAGTTCCATGATAGCAAACAACACTGAACTGAGTTTTGAATGGGTCCGGAGTCTCCAGCAATGCGTGATAATGCGCAAATAAACGCCGGCACGATACGGGTCTCGCAGCTCTTGACGGGACGCACCATTGAAATCCGAGTAAAGAGATGGGACAACAGCAATGGAGCTATGCTTGACAACAAGCGAGCCATAAATCTGTATCGCGACCAAAGCGAGCAACGATTATTCCCTGACGCCATTCGATGTTTTTAGAGGCATTGCAAAACACGGCTAAGCCTAAGCTGTAATGAGTCAAGCACGTGTAAGCGTTCATGTACATCCACTCTTTGCACTATAAGGAAAGCAACAACTAACACGCATGCACGAAAATTTAGCATACATTGCAGGAGTGTTCTCTCGCATATGTTGAATTGTGGTGCATATAATGTTGTTTCTCCAAATGTCGTGTTGATTCTGCGTGTGTTGTTCCGTGGATTGTAGACACCTTTGTGAGAAACATTTGCTGCTGTTCAGTCTTTGAGTGCATACCTCCCATTATCGCCAAGTCAAGTATATGGGTTTGCTCAAAGCGCCAGTGACGACAAATATATTACCAGTATTTGGCACCCGCTGCAAGCATCAAAGAAGCATAGCACAGCGTCAACGTAGTCAAGCATGTCATTTTGCTGCCGGCTTCCAAGTACATGAATTTCCTTTAGCAAGGAGCCTATGATGGAATGACACATACATTGCCCAATGGCATGACTCAAGGCGCCTCCGCGGCCAACTTTCGGCCAACAGAAGAAATATCGTTGTGTGTTTCCACCAGCTTCCGAGTACGTGGTCGCGGGCTTGGCTTGGCCATAGGCCAAAAGGATGTCTCGCTTTCTTTTTCCCAAGATGTCTCCGCAACCAAATTGGGGCCAACCGGATGTATGATGTTGTTTGTTTTCCCCGGCAGCTTCCGAGTTCCTGGATTTTGTGATCAAAGCGCCTTCGCACGTTGATGGCAAAACTGCGTAAATTCTGAGCAGCGGCCTGTGGCCCGAAAAATGTCTCGGTTTTTTTAAAACCGCTGCATAATTTCCACTTGTAAAAGCTCAGCTGTGATTTTCCTGCCCATGCGGCAGGCCCTTAAAAGTCATTGATGGGCTTGAACACGTTGAATTTATACAGTGCTTTTTAAAAACCGCGACATTTTTGGGGCCATTGGCTGCGGCTCGGATTTTGCTCGTGTTTGCCACCAAGATGCGAAGGCGCCTTGGGGACAAAACCATGTACTCGGAGGCCGGTGGAAGAAAACCGAGACATCCAGTTGGCCCAAATTTGGCTGCGGAGACGCCTTGGGCATAAAACCGAGACATCCTGTTGGGCCCGATCTGGCTGTGGCGTGTTGTGGCCAAAAGTATGTAAGCGATATTCTGTTGGCCGAAATTCGGCTGCGCGGCTCCTTGAAACGAAGCTCAAGCTCTTGAACCCGGGTGAACAAGATGTTCTATTGTTCAACATGTGCTTGAAAAGGTATTTGGAACACTATAGGCACTTGGAACACCATAAGCTCAGAAGCAAGGAAGAAACAAGTGGTGCATTTTGCCGGCCCCAAATGTATTGCATCGGCGCTTTGGAGACGCAACACAGTTGATTTTCGTATAGAACCCTGCTGGAATCTGCTGGAATGTAACACAATGTGGAAAGCTAGCTGATGTTTGCCTCGCTGGAACGTAAAGCCATGTTACTGAAAGTCAATGGGAGGGCACATGAAACACGCACACAGCCGAAGCTATCCCTAGCATGTCTTAGAGAAGATCTCTCAGATCATGCACGCCATGTGCTTCAATTTATGTGAGGAATCCGGTGTGCTTAGTTGATACCATGCTGTGGCGAAAAATGTTTGTCCTTTGCAGATCGTACTCTACACGTCAACCATGGCTTGGCTTGCCTTTTAACGAGGTGTCTAATCAGTAGATAAGCATATGCATTTGCCTGATCGATGTTTTCTTGATTGTTCTTAAGTGATTTTGAGTGGCTGGAAGGAACAATTGCTTGTTAAGTTTGATGTGTTCGTGGCCCCTGCAGAGTTGGTCATAAACGTTAGTTGTTTGGCGATTGCATGCGATTGCTGCGAACTAGTGAATCTAAAATTCAGCAGGTGTTGAACCTGCCCTGATTGCTTGTACTAACGTTTGGTTTTGTGGCAGCTTTGGCGGTAAGCCAAACGCGAAAAAAGCGATTGTTGTTATCCTCAACTGCGCGCTGTTTTTCATCAACAAGCGCAACGCATACCTGCTAAGTAGACTTGCTCGGGCCTGGACACATGAACTTTCTCAGCATGTGTAAGCTTGCATGATCTGACGTGTCCTGCAGGCGTGCCGCAAATCTTAAAATGCCCATTGCCCATTGTCTGCGATGAATTTTTGATGTGTCCATGTATTCATTTCACAGATTCGCCCTTCTGTTCTGCTTGTGCCTTCCAGCCAGAGCCAGTTCTGCTTTTTGCCCTTGATTAGGTTGCTGTTGCCCAATGCTCTAAGTTTGGCAGCCCCCAGTCGTATTCCAATGAAGGCCGTGTTTCTGACAAGACAGTTTCTTGGCCAAGCAATTTTGATGAGAAAAAGGAGTGTTCACACGCGCTTGCCCTGCAGAACTAGCTCGCGCTGCGCCATGCGCTGTTCTGGGCACGCGGTGTCCGAATTGTTCGCGACATGACACACGTCCTTTGCGAGAGCAGCTCGCAAGCATGCACACACACATACACTCCGACACGCGAATGGGCAAAAAAAAGAAACAAGGCATACGACATTTCTGGATTCATGGTCCAACTCCAACACAGCGATCAGGAAACGACAGCACGTTTGCGCAGAGTATGGGTGCTAGCAATGACACACACACACACATACATGTATAGATGCACAGTGAGCATTCGAATGGATGTTACCAGGTGGAAACTGGCAGCATGATCAAAGTGACTGAGGCTTGAAGCAAGGACAACGCAAGAAGAGTGCAAGCGAGTGGCTTTACGGTTGCCGGGATGTGACCCTACGCTTTGGAGCAAGTCATAGTGTAGCTTGCATTCAAGCACGGTGTGATGCCCATAGACACCAATCAGCAAGAGCTGCGCATGCAGCAGTTCTGATAGC